CCATCCTGGTTTCCCTTGCTTCTTTTCATCTTGTTGCATTGCCTTTTCATATTCATTACATAAATGATATGAAGAACTTTCTCCTCAAAACACAAGAAGAGATGTGAAACAATTTAATCTAGAAAAGATACTTTTTTATCTTTTTTGAAATGCGCGTATTTTTGGGCCTATTAAAGGAATCAATATAAGCTATTTAAATATAATATTCCACTTAAATATTAAATATGAATAATACATATGTAAAATAATCAGAATGACAATTAAATGAAAAGATGGTACATTAAACCATTATTTAATTAATAGCTATAATTATCTATTCGTAAACAATGAAATTGAAAAAATATATTGTTCTAATTGTCCCAACAACTATAATTAAATGACTTGAAAGTACAAAGAAATCATTATACTCAATTAATATTAAATTTACTCGGTCATACCATTCTTTATCTAATGATGTCTACCAATATCCACGATGACAATTGAAAAAGCTATGTGCAAATTGGTTTCAAGCAAAGAACAGTTAAATGCCTGAGTAGTCCAAAATAAGGGTTAGCAAAGGCCATATCTGGGGAACCTCAGCCGTCAAAGTCACAAAAACAAATCAAAGCCAAATTGACCAAAAGAAATGAAATTGGTCTTTGGCACAAACACGTCGACGTTTGCAAATGTATGCTTTGTCCACCATTATTAAACAAAACCCATCCATCCTCTGCCAAGAAGACTAAAAGCTTAAAAACTAAAAACAGTAAGGGATCTCTTAAAACAAACATTATATAACTGTTTTAGTAGCCGGTCTACATTATTTAGTAGATTGTAGGGGTGAGCAAACAGTGGTTCAGTTTCAAACCGAACCAAAGCCAAAAAAATGGCAAATCAAAAATTTTAAGACAATGGCCTAAACTGGATCGAATTTTTGACATTTGAATCGAACCAATAGGTTCGACTGATTTTAGTCAATTTTTTGCCACATGTAGCGTTCGATTTAAACCCTTTTTGACCGATTGAATTTCCTAGAAAATCATTCAAAGCCAAATGAAATAACCACGCCGAAACCTCTTTTGGAATAGTTTAGACCCCCGAATCGAATTGAAATGGATTCGCTTCAATTTTTGTTGGCAATTCGCGTCATTGTTTTTGTGCACACCTCTAACTTAGCCTGTTAGTATTAGCTTCTTTAGCTGATAGCTGTTAACCTAAGCTGTTTATATAAACTTTAAATTAGAAGTATTCCATAAAAAAAAAAATTGTCAATTAGCTACTTAATTAAGTAACTGAATTGCCTATTGGCTTTTGATTGCTTCAACGCTACGACGAAAAGAACATTAGTTGGAAGACAAAAAAATAAAAATAACAATTGGACTGTTGACTCTTTTTTTTTTTTCTCCGATTCTAGATTT